GGCCCCAACAGCACCCAGGGGTTTTGGGACTATTTTTTTTTTTTTTTTTTTTTTTCGGAAAGCCTCCGCTGAGGCTTGCCTTCGGAGCCCGCCCCAGCGCCGAACCCAGTTTTTGTGAGAAAGGCTAAGGCGTCCTGCGTGGAAGAGGTCTCGTATCTTAATGAACACCCCCATAATTAAGGCGGAGGTCGTGGCTGGGGCAGGAAACGGTGGCCTTCTGGGCAGGGGGATTTTTCTTTTGCACCGAGTGCCCGAGAAGGCCCCGGGAAGGGCTGGGCGGGCTCCCGGCGCCCCCCGAGCGGCCCAGATAAAGTTCCACGTGTCTCTTCTCCCCCAGTCCCCCCCGCCAGAGTCGAGCCGAGGGAATCAAACGTTCAAATTCAAAAACGAGCCAGTAGGACTATTCCTAATTAATAGAGCCCCGCTAATGAGTCAGCAGAAGCCAATCGGTTTCGTTGTTGCTCCGAACAATTTGATTAAACGCGGATGTGTGTCTTTAAGAGGGAAAAAAAAAAAAAAGAACCCCACCATGAAACAAACATTTCCACCTTCAATTTTCAACATGGCAGTTACCCCATAGCGGAAATATAATTCTTGGCCCAGGGCAGGGACAGTAACAGTAACATCAGTAACAGTTTCATCAGTAACAGTGCTGATGAAATTCGCTGAGACGCTTTTTAATTCAGCCGTAACCCTGCAGTTCCTGGAGATAACATGAGGTTGTTCATTCCAAGCTGTGTTTACTCATAATCCGTGCCCATTACAACAGATTGAATAGCCTAATTTTAAACGCGCTCTGACGGAAAGTGACATTCGGGCGAGCCCCGTTTCCTAAAGTGGCTTTCAAAGGCGAGTTTTGTTGGTGTTGAGAGACTATTTGTCTCATTTCCGGGGGCAGATTACGATACCTATAAAACAGTAGTGAGTTAAAACATCTCTCCACAATAGTTTGTATTGTTCGCAGTCTCAGCTGGACTTTCACATTCAGATGTTGATTGCCTCCAATTTTTTTTTTTTTTTCCCCCCCCCCCCCAACCTCCTTAACCTCTTCAGGCCGGCTAATCCATAAACACACCTGGTAGAATTACAGCTCGCTCGCTGCGTGCTTTGGGAGGTCATTTCAGAAACGTCTGTTTCCTGAAAGCCAGCCTTCTCCAGAAAAAAAAAGTTTTTTTACCCCGTGAGAATAGAGTTTCAAAGGGAGGGAACGCCAGCAAACAAGCACACAGCACGCTAAATACAAAGAGGTTTGAAAAAGAGCAGATTTTCGCCAACACAGGTCAGAACGAAAACGCACCGTGAAAAATGAATACTCGGGACACGCGAAACCCACCGGCCGTACTTTAAAAAGTTGTGGCCAGGCAGTCTTTTGTTTCAATCCATCACAACAGAGACCAAAATAAAAAAAATCGCACCAGGCTTAGTCATATTTACATTTTATAGCATCGGTTACAGACTGATTTATTCCCTCCCCCCTTCTTTCTTTCTCTTTCTTTCCTCTTTTTCAAGTTGTTGTTTGCGTCCAATTCAAACCGTCGAAAGCCCGACCGCAGGCAGCGAAAACATTTCTTCGTTGATCCCGTAATATTAAAAGGACTGGAATGTGCACGTTTGCCCGGCGGGTCGTGTTAGAGTAGTTACAGTGACAGCTAAACAATCTGCGCTGCAATCTCCGCTTCACTCACATTCAGGCGTCCTCTCCGCTCCTCCCCCTACCCCCAGAAACCCCCGAATTACAATAATCTGTGACCCCCAGGCTCTGCCGGGGAAATGCCCTGCCCGGACACATTTCGCAGCAGTTTCCCTTCACCGTTTCCCCCCCTGGAAAGCAGAAAGCCAACCGCTGCATTTTGCCACCGCCACAAAGTCACACTTTGCGATAACCCTGTATTTCAGCCGCCTTTTATTTGTTTTCGGACTTCCCCGCAGCCCCAGCAGCCCCTCCGCCCAGCGCTTCGCCTTCCTCCTCCCGCCGAAAACCCGGCCGGCGCCCCCAGCCGCCCTCGGATACAGGTGCGGGGGCAGTTGCCCTCTGAAGCTTAAAAGCCTCCTTCTCCTCGTATATAAAACCACTTACAAATCCTTCCCGTGCTCGGCAGCGTCACCAAATCCAACCTTTAACTAATAGCTCCTAATCCAAACAGTTTGGGCAAGGCGAACCGTTGTTTAGACTGGCGGGGGTACCGGGAGCCTGGCGGGGGGGACGCGGGCGGGTCCTCCCCAGCCGGCTCCCACCGTGATATTTTACAGTTGACACACACCGAGGTACAAGCGGAGGGGAAGGGGAGGGGGCAGAGCCGGTCCTGACGGAATATCTTGCCCGGGGCAGGGGGGGGGGGTCCGGTGCTC